GATCCAGCCCATTTGTGCCCACCCTGGATTGTATTGATGGTGTAGGTTGGTTGGTTTGGTTTGTTGGGGTCTTCTTAGCCCAAAGGATTTTCTGGTGTATTATTACAGGATTTAATAGGACCATTTAGAGAAACTAAGTGAATCCATACATCTCAGACACTTTACTAAAATGTATTTTGTCAACATGGCTAGAAATGACCCATCATCTCGACTAAACCCATTTTTGAGCTCACTGCTGTAAGAGTCACTGTTGAGAACAGAGGGAAGGAATCTGACTTGAGATGTCTGTGCTGCAGCTTGTGTARTTGTCTTGCACTCTGGCAGCCTCTGTACAGAGGGGGGAGGCTCTGGGTTCTCAGCAGGACCTCCTTGGTCATTCTCTTAAGTCTTGGTGCAGACCAATTGCTTAAGTCTTTTGCACTGAATTTAGATAGCACTTCATTAATCTTCAAATTGTGTAACTAATAGAAGTTCAACTGGCTTCTRTTTACACCCTGTGCAACAGTAGGTCTTCCAATTAACAATAATGCTATTTCACGGAACAAGTCCTGAATAGTTGCAGACAACATGCAATGGGTTATATTTAATCTCCATTACAAACAATTGTATAAATACCTCAAGCACCATTTTTATGAGGAAATCCAGTGCTCGATCTTCCTATTTTTGATACCATGAATGCAATATATCAGCATCTTTTGCAGATTTCTGGATCACTGATGATGGTTATACAAGTACTTGGAATATGCTCTAAAAGCAGTAATGCCAAAATGGAGTTTTTTYTCACTTCTCAAAGATTACTTGCAACAATACGTGATAGACTCCAGCAAAGCTTTCTGTCTTCTAGGAAACTGTTAGAGCATCTGAGCTTGTGTTCATCAGTGTATATAGTTCATAAAAGGCAGTTTGTTAAGTGTGGTAGTGTAAGTATTACCAGGTAACTTAGAATAGAGACTTACTAAAATATTTTTCTTAAATGCATCTTTTTCTAACAAAATGGGGATAACTCATATATGCATATCTTGGTTTATAGAATTACCAATACCATTTCTCTGCCAAACACAGCATCATTTGCTGGTAAGGGAGAACTTTTTAGATACTGTAATAATAAAAAGAACTATTTAAATAATATTCTGATCTGTGCTGCATAATGCATTGAAGCATTGTGATAAGTTTTAAAAGATCTATTTCTTTAAAGGTTTTGTTTACACAAAGTGGAAGTATTGTCTAATACTTTATAATCTTTGAACAGTAATTATCAATTTAATTTTAAAAAGCATCATCTCTCCTGAGTGCCATTAAGAGCTGATTGTGAGCTGAGCCTCAGCACTGCCTTAGAATAGGCAACTAACTCTAGCTGGCAGTCATGTCCAAGATGTACAGCCAAGTTCTCCTAACCTAAATTTAATTTGTGATTCTTTTCTGCATTTGAGCCTAGGGCAGTAAGCAGATGCTGGAGATCTTTCATGATTAGAATCTTCCTGAGCCATCCGGACACTAATGCAAGTTCCCYACCTGTTCTTTTCAGAAACAAGAGCAGTGTTTGACTGCATTGGCCTATTGTGTTGATTCTGGCTTTGTGTGTTAAAAAAAAAAAAAAAAATTWAAAAAAAATCACCACCAACTGTGCCTTTTCTGGGAGTGGTTTGGGGATAAGTCGTAAGAACAGAAAAATGATTCTGGCGATACAWTTGAGGTATCTTTGCTAATCAAAAYGATCTTCCTGTTCTTTGTATGTTTTTTTGGTGTACGTAGTGTTTACGTAGAGTTTACAGTGTATTACATAAGTATTTAAAATATTTAGCTATTGCTGTGGATTTAATGTTATTTTAAAACAAGAACTTACGTGGTGCTGTGGAAGGTGACAGATTTTTCAAATTAGGTAGAAGTATTTACTTGAAATTGTTTGAATAATAATGGTGTTTGTAAACTTAAGAAAACTGGATAGCTTATATCTCACTTGAGTGCATGATAGAACTTGTTAGGGCAAATATGCAAATATTCACAAATAGATTGTCCTAAGAAATTGTAATGTGGTTTGTTATTCTAAGTAGTTTAAGAGATAATGAAACTATYGCTTCTCAGTAATTACCTGTGCTGTCTCTTGCATCTGTCAGTGTGTGAAAATAGTTAGCTTGTTTTCTAGGTGACTGTATTCCATTCAAATAAAGTCACATTAACTTCCAAGGCTGCTTCTTACATGACCTTTAGATATGCTTTCCTCTTCATCCAAATATTTTACTTGTCAATTACAAAAGCACCCCAATTAAGACAAAAGAGACTATTCATGTTARATTTGACAGCTGCTTCTGGTTTGTTACAGATTTCCAAGGTAATTATTTATTCTTTCTGTTAATTCCTTAAAATTAGGGAGACTACTTCTCCACTGTGTTGTGAAAATGAATATATTCATGGTTGCAAGGTGTTCAGGGGTTTTAGAAGCCACAGGACTGTATAGATAACACAGCTAAGTAAACTAGGCGAGAAAAATTTGTGCACTCAGATACTTCATACATGAGAGAAATTGCATAGTTTCAGACTGGATGAGATTCTAGGATTTATTTAAAAGTCTTTCATTTTCTTGAAAGAGTATTTCCCATTGCAGTTCTTCTGTAGTAAAAATTGGCCTCATTTTCAAGTTTTAATTGCAGTTATTTCTACTGCAATATGAAAAACCACYGGTTACTGGATCTAAGAGTACCCTTTGCTAGCTTTAATCTGGAGAAAATTCAGCTTCACAAAGTTTTTAGAATATTTTTTATTTTACAAATAGAATTGGGCAGCTGGCTACTTTTATCTGTATATAATTTGGCATTTGGCTTTCCAGTTAAACTACTCTTAGGTGAACAGTAAAAGCTGCCATCAGCCAATTTRTTGGAGATGCTCAGAGCGTACTTTAGTGGGGACCTTCAGATGTCACCTCCTGCTGACAAAGGCCCTTTGAAAGACAGBATTACTCATGTAATTGTTTAGGCTTTCACTTGATAAAAAACTTAACATGCTGCTGATACTATTAACATTTYGCTCCAAGTTCAAAGCAGCAGGAAAAAACAGCTACTTATTTATAACTACTGTTTTCTAAAACAGTAATAATACAACATAATTAATATGTGCCAGATGATGCTACATAAAATATTTAGCAAAACRTTCGGCATGTAACCCAGACAGTTTAATCCTTTTATATCTTACAGCATCTGTTTTGCCTACTTAGGACCCAGCTGCACACAAATCCACAGTTATGTAATAAAACCAGTTTCCTATGTCCTGCACGTTCCAGTGGCAGTTATGTTCAACACTGATAACAACACATTATGGCTCTAAAATGTATCCTCTACAGTGCACARAAATACAGATTTTACTTGTTCATGTTAGGAACACCAGGTGCAGTGCAGTAGTGAACCAGCTTTCATCAAAAATTACAGAGTTGCAACTTCAGTCCAAATGCTGCCCAATAATTCGTGGAGCACTCAGTAAATATCAGAACTCTGGTGTGTCACAAAAAAAAAAAATAGTTGTTTTTTGTGCCCTGTATTGGGCTAAAATACGTTTTTCATTTACTACGAAATTTTGGGTTGACCACTGCATATACACTGAGCATTTCAAAATAAGAGTCATGCTGCATCCTTTAACAGCAGTATTTTGATTGTGGAGAATATGCAGTATACAAATGGATTGTCAATATATAAAACCACCATAATTACTGCAGACCATTCAAATCAATACAGCCTGCCACTAGAAGTGTGCTGGAAAAAATTCCTGTGCAAGCAGCCTTTTTTTGTGTGTTATACAGACTGCATTGTCTTGCACAGACATGCACAACCCAAATATGGCTGCAGGAAAAGATAATACCGCAAAACACGAGTTTAAAAATTAAGAAAGCGACTGGAAGCTCTCTGTTTTGGTCATTGAAAAGATTCACTGTTTACACAGAGAGATTCACAGTTTTTCTGTAAAATGAGCGATTTGTATAAAAGGATTTTGACAACTGACAACATACTTAATRAAATTGCTGTTTGGGTRATGCTTATTTTAGAAAGGTATAAAGTTGCTAACACTATTTGAGTTAAATAAGAACCATTTTTCCTGAGRAATCCAGTATCTAGCACTTTTCATGTAAAGCTGATTAACACTGTAAAGTMATTTAAACCTTCTTTCCAAGTCTTTTCTCTCTATGAAATATTAAACAGCATCTTAGATGTAAAAAATGCATTAATGCCAGCTGCTTCTATTTTCTGTGGCAATGAGTACACTGTACATTTCCATTAGAATGATTTAGGAAACAATACTAATGAAATGTCAGTTTGTACACTGAAAGTTGTCTTTTGTAACAGATTTTATTTATCTGATATAGGAAAAAGTAGTGTTTTGTATAGAGTATTTATTATATATGTTGTGTATCTACAAGCTACATAAAGATGGAAATATCCTGAATCTTTTTAACTTGCATCTATTGCAGTTTATCTATTTTAAATTAAAATATTCTGATTCGAAAATATTCTGATTTAGAAACTTTGAAAAATCGTAGTGATTTAGAAACTTTAAAAAAATCCCCTACCGAGTGTTTCATATGGAATAGAAATTAATAGGKTTTTTTTGGCTAGAAGTCACTTACACTCGCACCCTCCCAAAAGCCCGGTGTAGAAGCAGCAGGCGCGGGCCGGTGGATGTGGCGGAGTTGTTTAGCGCTGGCACTGCAGCGGGACCGGCCCCGCTCAGCGCGCACCTGCTCGGCCTCGGCRGGAGCCGCTCCCGGGCTGCAGGACGGCCACGGGGGGCTGAGCGCTGCCGCCTTGTCCCCGCAGAACCTGCCGAGGAGCCCGTTCGGCGGCACGGGCTCCGGCACCGCCCGGGAGCGGCCCCTGAGGGCCGGGGGAGCGGGCGGGGTTGAGCGGGGGTGGGCGCCGGGACCGCGCTGTCCGAGGGTCCCGCCCCTCTCGCCCCCTCACGGCCCCCGCGGGGCGGGGCCAGCACCGCCCGCCCCCAGCAGCTCCGGCTCCCCCGTCCGCGCCGCGGGGCTCGCAACAGCGGGGGCCGTGCCCCAGCCATGGCCGGGCGCGGAGCGCGGCTGCGCTACGGCCGCCCCCCGTCCCTGCTCCTCCTCACCTACCTCTGYGCGCCCCTGCTCGGCCAGCTCGGAACCTCGCTCGCGGGTAAGGCGGCTCCGGGTGGCTCCGTGGGGGCTGAGGGTCGGCGGAGCCGCTGGGACGGCTAGAAGAGTGAAGGGTGAAAGGCGCTCCGGTGAGGAGCTGGGAGGGTGTGCGAGGGCAGGGCACGGCCAGGCGGGGATTSCGAGCCCTCCTGGCGCTGTCCGGGCATGGAGCGGGTGGTACCGCGGCCCGGGGGTCTGTGGGCGCCGCTGCCCTCCCGGCCCTGCCCGGCTGGGAGCGGTTCGTGAGGGGAAAGGAGGCGGGATTCTGCGTGTGAGGGGAAAAGCTCTCGGGGATGGGGTCTCCGCGCACCAGCTTCGTTTTCTGCGCCACGAACTTTTTCCCGGACGAGGTTAAAGTAAGGCTGGTGCCGGGTCCGGCCGAGCTCCGCTTTCTTTAACAAAAACGAGCGGTGCCTCCGGAGACCGCGGTCAGATGGGCTCCCCAGGGCTACCCCCTCACAGAAGAGGGGAAAATGTCTTTGCTAMGCTACTGCTGTTCAGGTGCGTTATCAGACTTGACTGCCTCAAATTGCGTTTCGCAGTGGTTAAACTTTCTAAATGTGTTTATATATAACGCTTTAAAGATCTCAAGTGCYGTAGCTTTCAGTTTTTGCTTTTCTCACTTACCGAGCAGAGGTACAGTTGCAGGTTTGTGGTGCGTGCTCTGCATCTGCAGCTGTTACGGAGGTAAACTTGCAGACTATATTTTAATAACTGTAATTTCGCGTATGGATGTGGCTGCACATGAAAACAACCCTCTTAAGAATTTATTACAGAGCTCTCTAGTTTGGTCATGCGTTATTTCTTTGACTTCAAAAGAGTCGGTGTCATAATCAAGGTGTAACTTTCCGAGCTGAAGGATGTAAAATAGTGTGTGAAGCTGAAGTGTTTATAGAATTACACRAAGATTAAAGGAGCAAAATTACTGTTCTTCCAAAGATTTATTTAGAATCAGTCGTTTCAAAGCATAACATTTAAGTAATTTATAAGTACATTGCTAAGAGTTTTACAGAATGTCTTGAAACCATAACTACAATAATTACAGGCAGAAAGAAAATTAATGAAAAATGAATTTGATTCTTTTTAAAAAGAAATCAAAATTATCCAAGTGCTTGTAAATATGGTTGATGGAAAGCTGATTATRTCAACGTCTTGGTTTTAATTCAGCTTACAAATACTATTACTGCTGAATGTGATTTAAAAGATCATTTTTTGTCTCAACATTTGGAAAAGTAGTGTTTTTCATGTTCTTCATGACAGAAWCATTATATTACATTGTATTATTTATGTGACTGCATGGAATTACCTTGAGTCAGGTGGAGCCAAATTTTGCCTTTTGGCACAAGGCAGCAGTTTTGACTTCACTGAGAACTGATCGTATATAGGGAGGCTAAAATTTCCACAACTTGTTTTTTCTGAAATAAAATTAAATTTGCTGTAAGAGTGCTTGTAAATTAATTTGGTACTTCTTTACTTAATAGCAAACTGATATTTTATCTTGGATAACTCTGAATTGTGAGGAGAAAATACTTGCTGATTTAAAGTATAATCAAAGTATRAGTTTTGTTCCTTGCTCTGAATCTTTAACAGGTGAGACTGGAGTACCCAAATCGAGTTGAGGTTAACAGCCACCTCTAGCACTGCTGTACCGTGCTGCAGACCTGTGATAGCGTTTCCTTGGYAGTTCATGCACCCGGGCATTTTCCACTCAGTTTAACAGATCAAATCCTTCTCCCTACCCAACAGGACACCGCAAACCTTCCTGCTTGTATAGGATTCTTGTGATTTTTCTCTTAAAATGTTTTGTGCTTTCTTTAGAGGTTCTTAGGGGGATAAATGTGAGCATTGATTTGTGGAGGAATGTCTGTGTTGATTTGTAGAAGGAACTGTAGAAAGAAGTACTTGGATAGTTTCCCATTTCTGCCAAGAATGGTAAAACCTGGGTTTTGTGTGGTATTTTGGGTTTTGAAACATCCTACACTTTATCTGGTTTTGAGCAAAGAATCTGATTTCAGTGAGCTGTAGAGTTGTATGTTCCAGTGTATGCAAGACTGGAATGGAGTTGAGTGGGCAAAATGCTGCTGAGGCAGAAGGTAACACCAGTGCCCAACTCTTGCAGCACCCAGGGCTTCACTGGCAGCTTGTGAGAAGCCCTGGCCTGTTTCTTATTTCCATAAAGGTCTTACTTACRTACATTTTGGATTTGTGTTTAATTCCATGATGCATACTCTCTGAATTTGTATGTATAAGTGGTTCTACTTATAAGATTCTACATGTTCTTCTTTTTTTCTCCTTGTGCTATCTGCGCTTCAATATACCCTTTTTATTGCTTGCTTTCAGCATTCCTCGGTGCTGACTTCGCAGTGCATCTTCAGTCTTTACTGACAGGTCAACACTCAGTGAAAACCATATAATGATTAAAAGGAGTACAGAGACAGATGACAAAATCCTGGATCTGTTACGGAAAAGTCCCCCTGATTTCTGGGTGACAGGATTTTTCCCGTGAGACAGGCTGACATGAGGCAACCTTTTCCTKTGGCCTGGCTGTTAAGCAGGGAGAAGGATCCCAGTCCTGTCTGCGGGRAGCTGAGTGGGGCACATTAATGTGCCAATGAGCTTGGGAGGAAGTGCTGTGGCATGGCACAGACCTGCAGCTGCAGTGGCTGTCACTGCTGCTGGCAGTCATGTCACTAGAGAGGTCAGCGAGCTGTTTGGCGCATGCTGTGGACTTACCCCAGCATCCATAGCACAAGTATTCAGAAAGGAATGGTTTGTGGTCCAATCACCTCTTAATCTAGGCTGTCAGCTCATATCTATTTCTTGGTTATTTTACAAACTACATGGCAGTCCATTATGGTGACTAATCAAACTTATAAATATAATTCTTGAAAATGTGTGCCATAATGATGCCTTGTTGCTAAGCTGTTAGGGSATAGTTTAATTCTATGTTACAAGTATCGAGTTGGAACTTTAATCTTTGAGTTTAGTGTAAGAAACACTTTCTCTGCTTTTGCTGACCAAGTCTTGTACCTCTGTGCATATTGGTAAGCAGTATTGCAGTTCAAAATTTCTCATAATTTCATGTCCAATATATGTCATTTTTTTTTTCTACTATTTGGCCTGAGATTGATGTGCTAGGTAAGAGAGAAGGCACGAATCTTCTCAGTAACTTTAAAGCCACTTTTTCCATGCTTGTAGGTGTAGTGATGGGGTTTGCCTTAGTTTTTAAACAGGGGAGAAAAAATAGTTGTGGGAAGTTCAGAATGTAATAATTGGCTTTTCTGACTTTTATTCAGTACATGGAATAGCACTAGTAATGCTGCTGTGACTTACAGACATCCTAGTTAAGATGATTGTGATCTTTCTAAATGCTTGCTGTTAATTAAATSCTTGACTGTTTGTGATTGGATTCTTGGCAATTGCTAATGCATAGAAAGAAAAGTAGGCCAAAAAATTAAAGACCATGCAGGAAGCATGACTCACAATCCTGTTCAAAGGGACAGGGGAATCAGTACAAAAATAAAACTTCCATTTAAACATTACCTGTCTTTTCTGCCTAATGAAGTAATGATGGAATATTGTCCTAATATATACATGAGAGTACTGAAGGCAGGTGTACTGTATATATTCATTCACTTTCCAGATTTGTAATCAAAATATTAGTTGTACTTTGTAGCAGTTAGATTTGTAGATAATTATCTGTGTTATGATAGCACAGAGTTAAAGAATATAATGTTAACTACCAAGGATGCATATTTTGCAATTGTCTTAGTAGTGTTGTTTGTTGTCTATTGTTTATTGTCTTAGTAGTGTTCTTTTTCATTATAATGCTATATGATTATAAACATGCATTGGTAGTATATATTACTTCTGAATCTACATCTTTACATTACACTTCTCAAAAGTGACCCTTTCCCTTTTCCCATGGGCCTCCTTTGAAACTGCACCCAGTAGTGATGCAAAGAAAACCTGAAATCATTAACACTCAATTCTGTCAATTAGCAAATGCTTTGAACTACAYTGTTTAATGTGCAGCATTACACCTGCCATCCCAATCTGGCTCTTAGACACTTTATCCAAGGAACTGCAGAGGAATACAGAGTTCAAAGAAAGCTTATTATTTGGAGAAGCATGGACTGGGGTGTTCTCATATTTAGAAACAAACAGAGATTTATGAAAATACATCTGAGATCAAGCTGTAAGAGTAAGTATTTCACTGGTAATTCTTATAAAAGGAGTGATGTTGGTAAATAATATTAAGATACTAAGAAACTTAATCCCTTAATGGTACAGTAYGTTACAAAAGCATTATTCTTTTGTAAAACCCATATTTTGTTTCTTATCTATATTTAAAAAGCCTACCATTAGCAGCACAAGTGGAATTTTGATTTGAGAATGTTAACAAGATGAATAAACATGTACATGTTTCATCATGCTATTCATGCATCTAAGGCCCATTTAATGGTTCATTCTATTTTCTAAGTAGTTCTTCCAAAGTACTTTGATAAAAAAGTTTGTTAGATACTTAATGAAGAAATGTCAGAACTGAATTTCTAAATACAATGTTTCCAAGGTCAAGTGCTTTCTCAAAATTTTTACTTAACATTTTGTCAAAAGTGTCTTCCAACTACTTCAGAGTTTAAAAAATTTTGAGTTCTTAGTCTGCTTTATGCATAAGCATTTGTCTCCTTTGTGCAGATTTACAATTTAGGCCATCCAACATCTGATGTGATTTAGTTGGGGAGTTTCAGGTTTGTTTTGTTGTTTAACATGAACTCRTACTGAGGGGCAGTGAAAAGAGTTTAAGGTGAAAATAATAAAGTAAACATTGTCATTGGGAGTTACCACTGAACAGTGCAGAGAGCTACCTTTGATTTAGACTGTAGAGATTATCCAGCCTCAATAAAGAAGAAAACATATAAATACAGGTGAGCTTAGAACTGCCTTTCAAAGGCTACACATCTTCAAAATATGATTTAGTTCAGTGAGCTAGTGGCAGGGGTRAGTGTTTCCATAATCTCTTGCCATCTGATTTAGTATGAGATTGTACTCTGAGTTGTTTGCTTGATAATCTTGCTAGTCAYAGGTTTAAACCTCTTTCTGTTTTTGTCCCAGAGGCATAGCTAGTCTGCCTTAAGCCACCAAAACTGTTTCAGCTCTTTTGTATTCTTCTTTATATTTTTTCCACTTGTCACCAGTTCTTCGCAATTTTTTTATTGCTGTTAATGCAAGGGGTAATTAAGAACCACAGCTTTTACTGTAATCTCAAATACATAGAGTCATGTGGAAACGAGCTATTAAACACATACTGTCTGTGTAGCAAATTACTTCAATGGTCCTATTAAATAAAATATGCAGGGAAGAGGTGATTACTTGTTTTAATTTTTCCAGCTCTTAATATACTGTTGCCATTTCTAGCCTCCTCATGGAGCTCCCCTTTTGTATGAGATGTCTTTTACAGACCAGTGTGCTCCAGCTTATTAATAAACAGAATAAACTAGAAATGTTGAAAAGTGTGGACACATCTGTGATCAGAAAAAAAAWATCTAAAAAATTATATTGTTAGTAAATAATGGTCGTTGCAATAGGTTAGTGAGTATACTATAGTTCTGAGTATGAAATGTTTGAAAAATAAACTATAAGTTTATAAAAGCCGTAAAGGAACATGTCTCCTTTTCGTATAGCAGAGATGCTGTGTTTTAAAAGCAGCTTAATCTGGAAACAACATGTACCCTGAAGATTCTGTATCATTGCACAGGAGGTCATCTTACAGGAACACAGRAATGGTGAAAGTGCAGCTTTGCTTCTGCATTGCTTCAAGGTCAATTAACGGACAGATAATATCCAGCTGCAGAGTCAGTCTTAAATTGTACGAAAAATTCAGTTGAGACTTGTAACTGGAGGAGGGAAATGTAATTAATGCTAATGTAAAAATCAAGTATTTATGAAATATTAGGCTGAAATATAYGCAAAACAATTCATAATTCAGGAAATGGGGATATAGAAATAGAGAAATTAAGTTGTGTCTTCAGGAAGCATTCTTTTGGTTGCCTGTAAAATATAGGGCTTGGCAAATCTGTGTATAGTTACAAATATGAAAAAATCTTTGGCTAATGAGGATATGCTGAACCAGTTAMAATAAATATATTTTGACCTAATAGYTGTGAAGGTAAATCTTAYATGTGCAACRTTCTGTTGCTGTATCCTTTTGGGCAGCAGTTSTTATGTCCTGTGAGTTTTCCTCAGTGGTACCTCAGTGCACATCCCTCAAGTTARCAGTCTTGTAGTGCAGAGATGACAAATAATAGACCATGTACAAATAATGTATTTCAAAGAACAGTAGGTTTGTGAGCAAATTACATACACACTRAACAGATAGATTTGTATTTTGAGACAGAAGGATGATCTGTCTCAAACCAAATGTTAATCTGGCCCACAGTAAGGACGATTCAGGAGCTCATTARTGTATGGTAGGATGTATAGAAAAAGGGGCTCCTGCTTCTCCCACTTTGCTGATCATATTTCTTAAGCTACATTCTGCTTTTGCTGCTACTATGACACTTAAGAGAAATCTACTTAGTATGTGAAATCATAGTTCTCCTGGACTGCCCCACACCTGCAGTGCCAAAAGCAGCGAACTGTGCTTTTGTCCAAAGGTCCCATAACTTAAACCTTTTGCAGCACAGCAGAAATCCACTGCTGTCACACTCTGATGAATGGGAGGGAAATTAACACTTAGGCTGCCCATCTTAATTTGTCCAGTCTGCAGCGGTTGCCATTACATGGAACTAGGTTAGATCAGTTCAAATTAATGGCTTAAATGGTATTAGCCAAGCCTCTGCCACAAATGCCAAGTCATGGAACTGTTGGTCACACCCTGAGGCAGCTTTTACAAGTTGTATGGGAAAGAGGACTGATGCCCTATGCAGATAYGCTCCTACCTGACATGGAGTGTAGTGATCCCAGATAATTCTAAAATTCTAGTCCTCTTCATTATCTATGAATCTCTGATTTACTGAGTATTGATCCTTATGAACTTCAAGTAGATATTCTTTATGCTGCCTTTAATTGATCCTTTGTTTCCTTTCATGGAAACCAAAAATGGTTTTTTCTGCATGTATGGTTCCAGTTGTTCTACTTCTGTTATGTTGACTAAATTCACCTCCTCTCCAAAAAAAGTAATGTTAATCTTTTAAATCTCTCCTTGTATGGATGCCTGTCTCTGGTTTTAATCTGTTTATGACATTCTCTGGTGCTTTTCTGCTTCTGACATATCTTTTTTTAGATGGAYGCTGTTAGTAACCACATGATTTCTAGAGAGGTCGTGCCATAGATTTATGTAATGGTGTAATGTTTTAAGTCTGCATTAAAAAGAGGTGGTGGTAAGCTCCTTTCTTTTGTTTATGCTGCCTCTTAAAGTCATGATAATAGTTGCTRTGTCCTTTTATGGCAGTAGTTTCCATTTAAATCTCATTGGTAAGTAGTAAAATCTTTATCTAGAACATGTCTGCGTTTTCTGGTGGTCATCCTAACTTGGTCTGGGAATTGGAGACCCTTTCATGCAAGGTGATGTGTGTAGTTTATGCTTCTTGAGGCAGTGGCCATCTTCAGGTCTTTCACACCACATTAGAAAGCTGTTATGACTCGACTTACTTAGGTATACACTGGTTTTTKTCCTCCCCTCTGTCTCTATCTTCCCCAAAATGACTCTAGAAAGTAGTGAAAAGAAACTATAAAGGTGCATTCTATACAATATAACATTGGAACAGGTAGAGAATGGAGTGGTAAATAATTTGGTATACGTATCTAAGAAACAAATCAGTGTGAGGAAAAAGTGCTCTACAAGTGCAGCAAAATGTATACATTATAAATTTGCCCAAACATTAGAAGAAATAATGTATGAAACATGAAGAGATTGAAGTTTCAAACTGGGTTGCATGTTATGCAATGTATTACAGACCTGTACAGTGTGGATGTAGGTTTTTTAAAGGTTCCACCCTGTTTGAGCTTGATAGCACATCAGTCCCTCATAGGTCAGCTTTCAGTTTTAGAGGAGTTCCATCATTGCATGGCATTGGGTAAATTATATAAGAGCTTTTTGCCTGCTGAGATTTTCTTAATGTTTTTGAGTCATCAATTTCAGAAGTGTGATAATGGTCTGAAGATGCTAATAAAAGCAGGTAACTGTGAAATTCTGCTTCCAGGAACTTGACCATGCTTCTAGAGAGAAGGGGATGAGATGAGAAATTGAACTCTGCATAAAAAAAGCTGTAACTCTTTGGACACAAGATTGCCAGTGTACGCTGCTCATTTGAATCAATGCTAATAAGTTACCTTTTTTTTTCTTTTTAATATAGCTGTATCTGAACCTTCTTTTATTGCTAAAAGTGAAGATCGTTTGTTTAAGCATTTATTTGAAGACTATCAAAGATGGGTTCGTCCAGTGGAACGCTTGAATGACACAATAAAAATCAAGTTTGGCCTTGCAATCTCTCAGCTGGTAGATGTGGTATGTATAGTAAATAGGTTGTATCTTTATTCCACTRTTTTTAAAAGGAGCATAATTTCGTGTGAAATAATTGTGCCTGATTTARCTTAAACACAATAAATTAAGCATCCTAAATTATTATCATTGTAATAAAAATGCACTGTAGAGGGATATATGGTGTGCTTATATAAACATACTTAGTGACTGGAATACTTTCAGCAGTGTGTTTTGTATTTTAAATTACAGACCTCTGTGAACTAAAGCAGCTATTTCCTATGGACAGCTATGGACAGATTATTTTTTGTAATACATGCATTATTTTACAGGATGAGAAGAATCAATTGATGACAACAAATGTATGGTTGAAACAGGTATGTATAAAATATTGATGAAAATTTCTGAAGCTTCATAACTGCAAATCAAAATTTGGAAGCAACTTTCCTAGATAATTATGTATTCAAAAAGCTTTGCTCTTGCATGGAATTTTATTTCACATAATATCTTTATAAAATCTCCCTGGAAAGGCTTTAAAGGATTAATTGTTGCCAACCTCTTAAAAAAACTATAACAACATAAATAAAAATTCACCAAATTAAAAGAAATCTGATTTGGCATCGCATGGCCATTTAATATACCAACGTGCATATATCCAACCATAAATTGCAACTTCAGTGCAAAAGATTTCATTCAAAAGTTTTATTAAGAAAAGTATGGGTTGATGTATTCTTCTATATAATAGTTTTGAGGTCTTTTTCTCATGGGATATTTGAGATTATTTGATGTACATTACTGAAGAATTCCAGTTTCAAAGTTAAATATGCTTGCTAGAAGGAAATACTTTTCCCTCTTAAGAATATTTAGTTTTGGGCAGGAAAAAGMCTTAAGCTTTATAATATCAAAGTCCAGTGCTAAACTTGATTGCCGCTATTTATTTACTTGGGTAATGCTGCTCACAAATCATTCTTGATTTAACTGAGAAGAATGTTGGCAGATACTGGTTATGCTTATTAACTYGTGGAATTATTTTTGTTTGGACTAATTCCTTTCTGATTGTTCATTTATTTGATATTTTTGCTTTTGCTTCCCATTCCCTTGTTTTTCAGTAACTGTAATTTTAGGCCAAGTTTTTATTTTCAGGAAAACTTTGAGACTACTCAGGAAATATGAGCTGGCCAATATAGGTTGATGATACTTTGTGTCTTCTAATAGTTTCTCCAGATCTTCTTGAAGTTGAATCAGTTTTAAGAGTTGGAGCATGATGGGTTTTTTTGTATAATGAAAATGTCTGAATTGCTTCTGATTAGCTTGCAGTCATTGGTATTCATCCAGGACAAGCTTTTTCCAAATTTAATTTATACAATTTAATTATATTATAATAGCTCTTACTTAYCATGTTCTGAAAAAGGAACATCATATCTTAAGTTCTGTGTGGAAGCATCATCAAGTATCTCTTACAAAAAAATACCAAGTGAGGTAACTACATGTCTGTTCAGCAAGTTCATTATTTTATGCAAATTTTAGAAGCCAGTTTGATTGTTGTGAATTGCTTTGTTATCTGTTTTCATCTGTTATCACCCTACTTAAATCTGTTTCCCAATAATAATGATTTTTACAACTCACATATCCACAGGAATGGATAGATGTAAAATTAAGGTGGAATCCTGAAGAATATGCTGGAATAACATCTATTCGTGTCCCATCAGATTCTATTTGGATTCCGGATATTGTGCTGTATGACAAGTAAGATTTGAATCTTTTCATAAAAAATGCAATTACTTTATAACTTCACTGTCCAGACTGCTTCTAGGATACTCTTTGGATAGATATTAAATATACATTTAGTGAACTAAGAACCTGTTGAAGAATTTGCCTCTGAATGCAAATAGACTTAGTTGCCATGTTAAGTGCTTAAATATTTCACTTTTATTTCTAATGGAATTTCTAGTCCCTTTGAAAAGGTGATTTACATTAAGTTGTGTAAACTGTTTTTTCCAATTAGAAAAAAAATGTCTTGCTTAGTGCTGGGTGAAAATAGTATAGAGTGATGGGAGGGAAGCACGGAATTTATGCTGTTGTAAGTCATATTCAGCATGGAATTTAAATTAGGTACACTTARTTGTAAGGAGGGTTGTCTTGGTTTTGGGTTGGTTTTGGTTTTCTTTTGAAAATTTACAGATCTCAATGACAATAGCTTTTGAATTAACCCTTCTGAACAAYTCAGGTGCACATACAGTACTTATACATTACCTGCCTTGTCAAGTCAGGCTAAAAGGCTGTTGCAGTGATTGTAAATTCAAGTTTGGATACAAGTATTTTGTTGTTTCATGGCTTTTTGTTCTTCARTAATTGTGACCTGGCCCAATTTAAAAGTACCTATGCTGTATAACTAATAGAAACACCAGTGCTGGGTCATGTTGTTAAAGGTCAGGATTTTACAATCCTTTCATAAGTCATCAGGACCACAGAAAGTTGCACAAATATTTCTTGAAAATATTCTTCAGTCTTTGAAAGCTGTTTACCTATGTGAGATTCAGATTTGAGAAAAAAAATTGACTATGGAGATAATTCAAAATTTTGGCTATCAAGGGATAAACAGCTGAAATGACAATATTTTCTTACTCAAATACACTCCCCATTTTAATTGCATGCATATATCTCTCTCCTTTCAGTGCAGATGGACGTTTTGAGGGAACATCTACAAAAACTGTGGTGAAATATGATGGCACCATTGCTTGGACTCCACCAGCGAACTACAAAAGTTCTTGTACTATAGATGTAACATTCTTCCCCTTTGACCTCCAAAACTGCTCAATGAAATTTGGTTCCTGGACTTATGATGGCTCACAGGTTGATCTAATTCTTGAAGATTATGATGTTGACAAAAGAGATTTTTTTGATAATGGAGAATGGGAAATAGTGACTGCAACAGGGAGCAAAGGAAACAGGACTGATGGATGCTGCTGGTATCCTTTTGTTACATATTCATTTATAATTAGACGTTTGCCACTTTTTTACACTTTGTTCCTCATTATTCCTTGTATTGGGCTTTCGTTTCTGACTGTCCTTGTCTTCTATCTTCCTTCAAATGAAGGTGAAAAAATTTCGCTTTGCACTTCMGTACTGGTATCTTTGACTGTCTTTCTTCTTGTTATTGAAGAAATTATTCCATCATCTTCTAAAGTTATCCCACTCATAGGAGAGTACCTGGTGTTCACTATGATATTTGTGACCYTGTCCATTGTGATAACTGTCTTTGCTATCAATATCCACCACCGCTCATCGTCCACACACAATGCCATGGCACCCTGGGTTCGCAAGATATTTCTTCACAAACTGCCCAAGCTGCTTTGCATGAGAAGCCATGTTGATAGATACTTTGCTCAGAAGGAGGAAACTGCAAATATGAATGGATCAGAATCATCTCGGAACACCTTGGAAGCAGCTCTGGATTCTATCCGCTATATCACAAGACATGTTATGAAGGAGAATGAAGTTCGTGAGGTGGGTGTGTTAGTCCTGTGACACTGATTTTGTACAAGTGGAAATYAGAAAACCAACTAGTGGTTTATCGTAGCATGTTAAAAGTGTGCTGTGGATTTCCAGGGTTTGTACTTCAATGGAAGCTGGGTAGTTTTTTCCACTGGAAAGAAGTACAAATATGGTACAACATTGAGAATATTTGGCTGATACAGTACTGTCCTTGGGTTCTTCRAAAGTCTTTTGCTTTCTTCTAGAAGTAAATTCTTGTCATTTGTTACAYATTGTGAGACACTTTGTTGCAAGAACATGTACTGTAACTGGTCCCTACAGCACTGCTGCGATGTTGAGAGAAGGAGTTATTTTTCACTTTAATGTTATACCTGAAGGCTATCCTGAAAATTGCACTTGCCTTATATTTGCAGAATAAATACTGCCAAGACTTACCTTGCAGCTTTCAATTCCAAATAAAAACTGTTTTAGTTTTCTAGCTGATATTAGTTTTAATACAGTCTATAGCCATGGGTTGGTCATTTTGTGCTGAGATCAGTCATGACTTCCTAAGTGTTCTCTTCTGCCCTTATTATTATTTATCTCTAATGTACACCAAAATATGTTAAAGGGTTTTTTTCTGGTCTATGCATTTGCACATTGAATTATCCTTAATGGATGTTTACAACATTTGTGCAAGAGCATTACAAATCTGTTTTCTTTATGTGCTTTTAAAGCTAGCACCATCAGATACTTAAATGCTATTTCCAGGCTAGTGTAGAAGTTTGTAGAAATATAGAGGTTTGTTGTGTACTGTCTGTTTCTGATGGCAAAGCCTGAGGTTCTTTCAGTTTAWATGGGAATTGCTGTCTTCAGAAGTCTCTGGGTGCTGAGAGTGTGTTCTCCCATATCAGACTCGGAGTAAGCAAACTCCTCCAATGTGGCTTCTCAGGACTTGATTCTGACATTGTCACAAGGGATGCGGCCTAGATTTTTAATAAATGTATGTGCYGTGCTGTTAAAACAGCATCTAATAGTCCTGCATTGTATGAGCAACAGAAATAGAATAGTTTACTATTAAATACATAATTTCCTGTAAATTAAGCATTGACTGTGAGTGACAAGTAGTGGTAAGAATTTTGTTTTTCAAGTGTAATGTTGTTGTGACTCTAAACCTTAGAAATTATTACACAGCCGACTGGGGATTCACTTGTTTTATTAATGGGCTCCASAGAATGGAGGCTTTAATTGCAGAAGTTGTTAATAAACACTAGACAGCTAGTGCAATTGTAGCCTTAGGTCTTAGGAAGCCTTAGGCTTGGGAAATGAGGATAGCTCCAATTCAAATCCAAGACAATTGTTTGGCAGGGTTTTAATTTGCTTGCACATTTATAKCTGCAATACTTTCAAAACTGCATACAGATACGAATAATTTTATCAAAAAGGAAAGTAGTCTTGAAACTACTGTGAGTATTCTCCCARTGTGTAATGCTGTGCAGCAGTAAATAACTTCATCTTTCAGCTCTTATTTGTAACACAACAGCTGCTCTGTACTGTCAAGTTTTTGAATTTTTTTGTTACTGTTTGGGAGGTTTGGTTTTGGGTTTTTTGGTTAGTYTTTTGTTGTGGGTTGGTTTTTTTGTTTGTTTGTTGTTTGAGGTTTTTTTACAACTTTTGCTTCCACCTCCTGCTTGGGAATTCCACTTCATGATGTCATGTGCCATGAATCCTGTAGTATGTTAGGAAATGGCAGACCAGTCTYATCTCTGTAGATGAGGATGTTTGGTATTTGTCAGGGTCATTTTCTGCATCAAAATCTACTTAGCTTACCAGTCTTCACAGAGCTTCACAGAGGGAAGTTTTGCTTCTGTTCTAACTCACAGTATAATTATAAGATGTTGTTCAAGAGGGTTGTCATATGGACATGGTTGAAAAAAAGTGAGCTTTGAAATAACTAAGAATTGCAGGATTTGCTACTGTGTTTTTACCTGTTCTTGCACATACTGACCAAATCTTMTGCTCTTTGTGTTTTAGGTTGTTGAAGACTGGAAATACATTGCTCAGGTGCTTGATAGAATGTTCTTATGGGCTTTCCTTCTGGTTTCAGTAATTGGATCACTTGTGTTATTTATTCCTGTTATTCATAAATGGGCAAGTATAATAGTACCTACRCATATAGGCAGTACAAATGCATAAAATACTTTTGGAGCCATCTCACACTGATATGGCTCTAAGGAGTTTTGCAGTAGCTGTTTYCTTGCATGTTCTTTGTAGGCTTTTTTCTGATAGAGTGAAAAAAAAATTCCAAAACTAGAAAATTAGGTTTATATTAAAGCATGGCATTACTAGGGCACATAGCAGTCAATTTGCTTATTGCCTGTCTACTAAGTTACTGTTAAGCCAGGTCAGAATTAAAAAAACACTCTCAAGCCATTGCATGTATTATATATCAAAAAAGCATACACTGACACCTACTGTGAAAGAGAAGGATTTAAATTTTTTTAATGATGAGCACTGTAGCCCAGTTATTAAATGACTGTTAAATTGTTATACTGAATATAAAATATTTGCAGTTACATAGTAGAGTTGCTTCTTTCACTTTAGTATACAAAAGAGAATTTTAATCAGCTCTCTTCAATGTGTTGTAAAAATATGGAATTTCTACAGAATAATTTAAAATAATAGTAAAAATAAAAGTTAAACTTCTTGTATATCCAGTATACAACTGAGAGCAGCGATTTGGCCATGTTTGGCCTTCATAAATTTTCAGTGGAATTTGCTGCTAAATTTTAAAGCTTGTTAATTCTGTGATATGATACCAACATGAGGCTTTAATAAGCCTTAAAATGCCTAAAGCATCTGTGTATATTGATGYCTCCATCAGCTTTGGAATGGAAGGCAAAGGCAGTTAAATGAGTTCCCAAGCTGCATAAGTATTCTAAGGGGCCAGAACATTCATATTTCTTWATTCTTGATAAAGAATTTGATACAATATGTGAGTTTGCAAACATACTCGTTATTTCCTGTCTTTTGGTGTTTCTCAGAATTAAGATTTTAAGCATTGGCAGAAKGAATTTGGGGAATGTCTTTCTGAAGGAAATGGGTTACAAATTATTATGCTGTGGCACCATATAYAAATGATGAATGATTTGTTAAACTGAACTTAAGAGAGCTACCTTGAATTAGTTCTTTCACTTATAAAACCATATGTAACTCTAAGCAGTAAAGGCTTAGAATTTTTAATATTTTCTTTTTCCCAAGATTGTTGAAAATGAACTTGCAGTTTTTCAATTATTCTATTAAAAGACATTGTTTACATTGATTCCAATGCCACCTTTCTTCCTTTCTTAATACATTTTATTTCTGGAAAAGGCTCTATAATAGTTGGGTGTTTTCCTACACCAAAGCTTTTTCAGTATTTTTCATAATATAGTTGCATCATGTGGGGCTGATACAGTAATGGCAGGCTAGAGAAAATCTGAAAGTCTTAGGAAGTTTTTGTTTGCTTAAATTACTACATTATAATAACRTGTTGGGGTGAGGATTTTTAATGTAGTGTGATATATTTGATAATTCAAAGTTTTTATAGTAATTATAAATTGAAACAACAGATACATATTCCTCCCATACCCCCTCCCAGATCTCCTTTAGAACAGTCCTGTACTGATTATATAATAGCGATTACTTATGTCATAACTTATATATAATTGAATATTTATTTTAAAATGTTYACTCTGTATGATATTCTAGATTTTGTGTAGCTTTTTAAGCCACACGGGTAGGGAAATTATGCCAGGCAGGCCTGTTTTTTTCTTCGTGGGTTTTTTTTTTAATAGCAGTTAAGGAGTCACTCTTCTTCAGTCACACAATTACATCTAGCATTGGATATCAATATTTCCTCTATTCCCAACATAACTTCAAAGGCGAATTTGCAAAGATTATCTGATTTGATTTATTAATATAAGAGCTTTAACCTTATTATTACTGAGGTTAAACAATGCAGCAATGGCTTTCTCTGTGTGCAAGTTGCAGAAATACTTCTGGTAGCTTCAAATTGAGGCATTTCCTCTTCAGATACAACATTTCTTTTTAAAGTCTTCCATAGGTTTGAATTACTGAAATTTAYCTGAAGAGAAAGAAAAGTAAGTAAAACTGTAGATTAAATATATATATTATTTTTTTAATTCTCCATTTAATTTCTTCCTCCTTGTTAAATGATGTCTCCAGGCTGCCCAGTTGTATCATGCCCAGTGGAGTCACTCTTTATTATAGTAACTCGCTGTTTTTTGCAGAAGCATGAATTTCTTTTAATGACTTCTAGTCTGATCATGATAGATTCACATAACATAGCTGACATTGGAATCCTYGGAGTCTTCTGCTTATCAGGTGTGTCTGAAACAAAAGAATGTGAATATACTCAGAAACATGGACTTTTACTTCTGTAACTTATTGCTGAATGTATTGAATTGTAGGTAATGGTACCTTATATAGATTTCTGTCACTTGCTCAAAATAAATGGAAAAAAAGGCACAGTTTTCAACAGTTTGATTCTCTTTATTTTCATTAATGTTACATCACTTAATGACAGTGTATTTCCACAGTTTTCCATTCGGTACAGAGAGAACAGTTTATATTTTTACAAAACATTATTTGATTATAGTGTTTTGTTGCATTCTTTATTCATGCTCTTAAAGAACCTGCAGTTACTGATTAAAAAAAGAAGACACATATGCCTAAGCAACAATTTTAGCACACTTTACTGGAGTATTTTTGTCTACCTGCCTTCCCTTGGCATGAAACACTTCACTATAGCAGGATGCCTCCGTATCCAAACTATCCTATCAGAGTATTTTGAKCCTTTGCATCACTTGCAGACTGTCTTAATGTGTTTTACTTCTACACCAATCTAAACATCATTAGGTTTGAGCAGCTTTTTATTCCTGATGGCCTTCACATACATTGCAATCTGGGGATGCACAGAGTTTACTTTATGGCTGCTTTATTGTCATCATCTACTATTACCATCATCTATTATTTACCATCATCTATTATTTACCTATTTGTTTTCTTTTGGTAATAAACCTGCCTGCAGTCCTTTCTTGCCACTCTGTGGGTCAGTTTGTGCAGCAGGTGGCAATGTCTGCATTCCAGCAGTTTGGTGTTTGTGCTTCCCACCATTCCRTCCTCATGAGGGTATTCATGGAACTCGTTATGAACTCCTTCCAGAAGATCCTGTCATGGTCTGAAGAGGCTTGGCACCAGACTTGTGGAAACAAACCTAGTAGCCCAAAGCATTCAACCTACCTTGACTTTCCAAACATTTGTGTCATTTCCTATTTCTTTATTAACCGCTTCTTAAATAATGTCTATAAAGTTTAACATAACTGCTTGCATCTTTTCCAGTTAGAAAGAAGTAGCTGTAAAGCATAGCTTGTATTACTTTGAGATTAGCTGTCATAAAGGTTCAAATTAATTTCTTTTTTTGCATTTATAACGAAGTTGAAGCCAAAAGMGGTCTTTGCTCTACTACACATGGAAGAGGCATGAGGTGCTGGGATGGTGATACAGAGTTGGTTGGCAGTTTTATTTGATTTCACAATGTTTCATTTAATCTTTACATTTCATCTCCAGCCATCAAAGGCTGTAAAAACAATCCTGCTGTTCCTAGAATACATACCAGGATGAAAACCCATAGAAAAATACGATCGATTACCATGGCAACGTATTTCCAATCATCTTGAATCTGAAARCAAAAAAAAGAATAGCAAGTTGGCATGTTTATTAGGTGAATAAGTTGCATTAGCAATAGTGCCATTTCATATAGGAAGCACAGTTTTTTCTGTATGTAGATATCTTTCATGTATACCCAACTTACACATCTGTTTTCACTGACAAATGAATTCATCTTGAAGAAGCTTTATTTGAATATGGTCTTTGGGGCAAAGCCAAAAGCTACTTCTTCAAATCCGAAAGGTTGTTCACGTAGACACTGGTCTTAAGGACATACAATTCCTCTTATACCAAAAATGAAAGTATAAAGCTTTACATTCCTAGGTGAACAGGTTTRTCCAGAAAACTCTGCTGAAACAGATTGCTCCTACTGGTCTTTAGGCAGTGTGTAAAAAGCAAAGATTAATTGGTAAATAATTATTTTGTACTTTACTTACGCAGTACTGAAATGTGATTGTTCTCATGCATGATGTAAAATTCATCTCTGTACCTTTTATGCAAGAGAGGGAACCAAATTTCAGAAACCACCAGACTTTTCTAATTCCTTTTTACCGTGAGTGTTACAAGAGTGACAATGAAGTATTATATATATGTTAATAGTAACTCAAGGATCGTTTTAGTTACTATTGAGACTACAATTCAAATTTTTTGTTTTTCTTCAGGAATGATTAGAAATTAATAATACATTTTTCATTTTTGAAATGTGTTCTTTTTAGTTTAGAACTTGTTTGTTAAGGCAAACTTAACCCAAAGCAGCCCTGTGTTTTCTGTACCAGCTGGATCTAAATAGAGTTCTGATTTCAGTATAAACAAACTAAAGTTCGAATAAAGTACCATATTGCAGAGGATTTAATTTCTGTAATAATTGTGATGGTGTGGCCACTGCTTATAGTATATTTGAGGAAAATTATAGAAATAGAACTTCTMATTTTTCTTTTTTTTATTGCATTGAGATGCAGCTTTTGGAAAGATGCTGGTCCCTGTCTGGCAGTGGCTTCATTTAGCTACAGCACTTAGCTCTGCAGCAGCAACCGAATGAGCACCATCATCACTGTGAGGGACATTCACTCTTATATTTCTATTGCTGATGGTAAGCTGTGGGAGGGAGAATGTAATTTTCTAAAGGCCATAATGATTAGCAAATTCCCCCATCAAGACTATAACTTGGAAAATCCTAACTTCAGCTCTTGTGGGATGGATGCTCTGGTATGTTCCACAGCAGTGGTTACTTCAACATGCCTCACTCAGTATGTATATTGTCAATAAAGAGATCATTGTGCAACAGAGCTGCTTCCCAATTTTGTAAGTTCAAAATTGCACATATTTATAATAYAGCTTGTGTAATTTATTTGTATAAAATAATGGTCTCTGTTATCTTTTTTGTTTGTTTGAGTTCTTTTTCTTACTAAATACTCTAATGGCAAAAGGTATTTGCAGTTTGAGTAACAGTAAAATATGTYCTTACCTCTTTTGCTTCATTCTGCATTTTCATGTTTTCTGCKATGTATTTCACACTTTCAATAGCATCTCTCATTTCTGGTGACAGAACTGAAAATGGAAGCATAGGATCTACAGACTCAGAGCTTGAACTTCTAGTGAGATTGCCACTGAAATCCGAGAACTTGGTGCGCTGACACTGACAGCAGCTACACGCCATATCTTGACAGACGAAGCCATCTTTGCAGCATTTGGTTTCAGAACCRTTGATGCAGTTTARGTTTGAAAACTCAGAAGTGAATAATGGTTTTGGCTTCTGATTATTCTCTTCATCACTGGCAGGYCTTGTCATGAACATGATSCGGGGAAGTAAGTTCAAGAAAATGGTCCTCACCCACACAGGCATTGTGTGTGTCTTGGGTGTTCTGTAGTGCACATTCAGTACAAATACTGTAATGACAATTGATAGAGTTACAAATATCATGGTGAAAAGGAGGTATTCCCCAATAAGGGGAATTACCAGGGAAGTAGAAGGTATGGTTTCTGTGATAACTAGAAGGAACACTGTTAAAGAGAGAAGAACTGATATGCAGAGTGTCACCTTCTCACCACAGTCTGATGGCAAATAGAARACTAATACAGTCAGAAAAGAAATCAGCAGGCAGGGAATAATCATATTGATAGTGTAAAATAACGGTAAACGCCTAATGTAAAGGGAATATGTGATGTCTGGRTATATCTCTTCACAACAGTTGTACTTGATGTCATGTTTATACCCAGGAGCTTTAATTATAGCCCATTCTCCGCTCTCCCAGTAATCTTTCAGGTTCATTGTAGAGCCAATTAAAACTAAGTCAATTTTGGCTTTGTCGTAGGACCAGGAACCAAACTTCATGGTGCAGTTCTGATAATCAAATGGGAAGTAGGTTACATCTATTTTACATGAACTTTTAAATATAGCTGGAGGTATCCAGGTCACATCACCCGTGTATTTTAAAAGGGCCTTTGTCTTGTCATCAACCTGGAAATCCCCAACTGCACTGTAAAGCAAGTAAAAGAACAAAAATTAGAATGMTCTACTCCAGATAGTTTCATACATTCAGATCATATACATTTACTTTTTTTATCTGTTWGGGGGAAGTCAGCAATTGTTTACTTGGAGCTGAATTGCCCATGCAAGACTGAGTCAGTGACCATCATAAATTTGCACTGTTAAGCTGAAACAARCAGCTCTATAAACTCACCAGGGAGGAGCTGAAAGGAAGTATTCTCCCTTATTAATAGCATRGCTTGGTGCAATCAAAATTCAAAATGGCAAATAACAGTTTGCTAATGGCAGTCCAATTAAATGAGTGTTGTAGGCCCCTTCCAACTGAACTATTTTATTCTCTTCTATTCTAGATTGATTAAGCACMCCAGAACTCAAGGGCTGATAAGAAWRTTACTCRTATTTCCACCTCTTCTGTGGACAGTGCAGTTAGTAACTATGGAAAGAGGGAGTAGCRTTGGAATGTATCTTTGCATAAGGAGTGTATTTGGTAAGAGGTTTTTTTAAGTCCCACTTTTTTATCTTGTATGATCATCTGACAATTTCAGTTGAGTATATGAAAAAGTAATATTAAAGGGTAATTTGAAGTTTTAAGGCCCCAATTAGAAAAGGAGTGTCATCATTGTTAATCCATAGACCTAAATTTTGGATTMATGCAGCTGAGTCCATGTCACTGAGAATTGCTTTCCTATAGATCCATTTAGTTATGGTTTGGCTCTTCACAGTCTCAGAAACTTGACATCTGAAGTAAACTTTATCTGTGGCTTTTATTTGTCAACACTGTTACTGTAAAGGTGTCAGATTGTGAATTGAACTGCTAAAAAGCTAGAATTYGCATTTCTTTCAGTTTTAAGGTTGCAACTTACAGGGGCTTCTGAAGGGGAAAAGCCAAGTTCACTGTGGCCTGTCCACTTGCAGCTCTGGGTTAGAGCTGGCTCCTGCCCTTTGATGCTGATGKAGCTGACATGAAGGTGAAGCAGTGGGACAATGCAGGACACAGGTGTGTTGAAAAGCAGCTTTTCAGTGCGTTTTGTAAACTTGCTGCTGACTTTTTTTTAGAACTGGTAACATCACCWTCCTTTTCCTCCATTAAGAAATTAAATATGCAAGAGCCTTACTTGTTATATAAAACAATATCTGGCTTCCAGATCTGGCCAGATGGAACTCGGATGAATTCTGCGCCTCCATAGTCTGCTGGATTCCACCGAAGCTTGTAATCATTCCAGATCTAATTATGGTAGAAATGAGTCTGTGTTAGGTTTGTGAAGAARCTGAAAATTCATTGGACTAGATCTGAACCAAGTGCTGTAATATCACTTCCAGGGTTATTTTGGATACTACAGTATCCAGATACTATAGTGTTTAGATGTTCCTTTAACAAACACATATGTGTGGTTTTTGCTCACACTCAAGAGTGTAGGTGCGTCTAGATATCCCGACATTGTTGATCACATCCTTATATTATGCATATTAATGTGACACTGTCCCAGGAATGTCTATTCAGTATCTGGAACAAGGTGAAAGAAGGAGTAAGACACTCCCTTTTGAGAAAAGTGTAGGACTGTAATAACATTGATCTTAAAAACACAGGTGTCTGTGGGATGGTGAAAACAAATTTCTGTAGCCTGTGGTGCAAGTTATGAGCATCAAGTGAGGGACTTTGGGTAGATGGGTCAGAGAGCTCCAGGGTGTTACGGCTCAGGTAGCAGACTTTGTCACTAGGGCTTGTTAAACCTCACTTTTAACGAAGTTAAGTATCAAACTGAAGGTGGGAACTAAGTTGTTTACTAAGCTGACTGCAACAGTGAGTAACTGCATTTTTTAAAAAAACTTTTTACGTGAAGTACACATTTTTGGTTTTCACTTTACGGGAGCTTAACCAGCACCAAGAGATGCTGTGTGGGACGTCTGTGCTCGGGTGCTTCCCATGCGTTGGTGTCTGCCAAGACAGCGCGTTTGGAATTCTCCGGAGCAAATACGTTGTATTTAGCGACTGCAGCAAGTGTAACAGCCTAACTGAGCCTCACTCCGCTCCTGTCCTGTCCCTTCCCGTTCCCGCTGCTCCGCTCCCGTCCCGTCCCTTCCCGTTCCCGCTGCTCCGCTCCCGTCCC